AGATCTATGAATCAAGGTAAGCTTGACGTGGTCAAAAATGAGATGGCAAGACTGAACATCGATATCCTAGGAATCAGTGAACTAAAGTGGACAGGAATGGGCGAATTTAACTCAGAAGACCATTATATCTACTACTGTGGCCAGGAATCTCGTAGAAAAAATGGTGTGGCCTTTATAGTCAACAAGAGAGTGCAAAAGGCAGTACTGGGATACAATCTCAAAAATGACAGAATGATTTCTGTCCGATTCCAAGGCAAACCATTCAACATCACAGTAATCCAAGTCTATGCCCCAACCACTGATGCAGAAGAGGCTGAAGTGGACCGGTTCTATGAAGACCTACAACACCTCCTAGAACTAACACCAAAAAATGATGTCCTCATCATCATAGGGGACTGGAATGCTAAAGTAGGAAGTCAAAAGGTAACTGGAATAACAGACAAGTTTGGCCTTGGAAAGCAAAATGAAGCAGGGCAAAGGTTAACAGAGTTTTGTCAAGAGAACACACTGGTCATAGCGAACACCCTTTTCCAACAACCTAAGAGGCGACTCTACACATGGACATCACCAGATGGGCAACACCGAAATCAGATTGACTATATAATTTGCAGTCAAAGATGGAGAAGCTCTATCCAGTCAGTAAAAACAAGACCTGGAGCTGACTGTGGTTCAGATCATGAGCTACTCATTGCAAAATTCAGACTTAAACTGAAGAAAATTGGGAAAACCACGAGGCCATTCAGGTTTGACCTAGATCGCATCCCTGATGAATATACAGTAGAGGTGAAGAATAGATTCAAGGGTCTGGATTTGATAGATAGAGTGCCTGAAGAACTATGGACAGAGGTTCGTGACATCGTACAGGAGGCAGCAATCACCACCATACCAAAGAAAAAGAAATGCAAGAAAGCAAAATGGCTTTCTGATGAGGCTTTACAAATAGCAGAGGAAAGAAGGAAAGCGAAAGGCAAAGGCGAAAAGGAAAGATTTACCCAACTGAACGCAGATTTCCAGAGAACAGCAAGGAGAGATAAGGAGGCCTTCCTGAATGAACAGTGCAAAGTAATAGAAGAAAACAATAGAATGGGAAGGACTAGAGATCTCTTCAAGAAAATTGGAGAAATCAAGGGAGCGTTCCATGCAAAGCTGGCCATGATAAAGGACAAAAACGGTAGGGACCTAACAGAAGCAGAAGAGATTAGGAAAAGATGGCAAGAATACACAGAAGAACTATACAAGAAAGACCTCAATGTCCTTGACAAACACGACGGTATAATCACTGACCTTGAGCCAGACATCCTGGAATGTGAAGTTAAATGGGCCTTAGAAAGCATTGCTAACAACAAAGCTAGTGGAGGTGATGGTATTCCAGCTGAGCTATTCAAAGTCTTAGAAGATGATGCTGTTAAAGTGCTGCACTCCATTTGCCAGCAAATTTGGAAAACGCAACAGTGGCCACAGGATTGGAAAAGATCAGTATACATTCCAATCCCAAAGAAGGGCAATGCCAAGGAATGTTCAAACTATCGCACAATTGCACTCATATCACACGCTAGCAAGGTCATGCTCAAGATCCTACAAGCTAGGCTTCAACAGTACGTGGATAGAGAACTACCAGAAGTACAAGCTGGGTTTCGAAGAGGTAGAGGAACTAGAGATCAAATTGCCAACATTCGCTGGATTATGGAGAAAGCAAGAGAGTACCAGAAAAATATCTACTTCTGCTTCATTGACTATGCTAAAGCTTTTGACTGTGTGGATCACAACAAACTATGGCAGGTCCTTAAAGAGATGGGAGTACCAGACCACCTCACATGTCTCTTGAGAAACCTGTATAAGGGCCAAGAAGCGACAGTTAGAACCGGATACGGAACAACTGATTGGTTCAGCATAGGAAAAGGAGTACGACAAGGATGTATACTGTCACCTTGCTTATTTAATATATATGCAGAGTACATCATGCGAAATGCTGGCCTGGATGAATCACAAGCGGGAATTAAGATTGCTGGGGAAAAGATCAACAACCTCAGATATGCAGATGATACCACTCTAATGGCTGAAAGTGAAAAGGATCTAAAGAGCCTCTTGCTCAGAGTAAAAGAGGAGAGCGCAAAAGTGGGCTTGAAGCTCAACATCAAAAAAACTAAGATCATGGCATCCGGCCCCATCACTCCTTGGCAAATAGAAGGGGAAGTCGTGGAAGTAGTGACAGACTTCACGTTCCTGGGATCCCAGATCACGGCAGACTGTGACTGCAGCCATGAAATTAAAAGACTCCTGCTCCTTGGGAGGAAAGCGATGGCGAACCTAAACAGCATGATAAAAAGTAGAGACATCACCCTGCCAACAAAAGTCCGCATGGTCAAAGCAATGGTATTCCCAGTAGTCATGTATGGCTGCGAGAGTTGGACGATAAGGAAGGCCGAGCGCCGAAGAATAGATTCTTTTGAACTATGGTGCTGGAGAAGACTCTTGAGAGTCCCTTGGACTGCAAGAAGAACAAATCAGTCAATCCTCAAAGAAATCAACCCTGACTGTTCCCTGGAAGGCCAGATAATGAAACTGAAGCTCAAATACTTTGGCCACCAAATGAGAAGGGAGCACTCACTGGAGAAGACCCTGATGCTGGGAAAGATTGAAGGTCAAAGAAGACGGGGACGGCAAAGGATGAGATGGTTAGACAGTGTCATCGATGCAACGAACATGAAATTGAGCCAACTTCGGAGGACTGAGGAAGACAGGAGGGCCTGGCGGGAGATGGTCCATGGGGTCGCGAAGAGTCGGACTCGACTGTGCGACTGAACAACAACAACAATACAAGACAAGAAAGAGGGGGATGTTGCTCTACCCAATTGGGCCTTGTACTATAAAGCAGCATCTCAACCCTGGATAAAAGATTGGCTAACTCTAGAAAATTCAAGATGTTTAAAATTAGAAGACAACTTAATTATGGAATGGCATGCTTATATATGGTACAGTAAAGACAGGGTACATGCAAATTTTCATCAGCACATGATAAGGGGAGCATTGATAAAAATTTGGAAAGACATAAAAGAAAACTATTATATTCAAATACCAAAATGGGTTTCACCCCTTGAAGCATTTATAAAACCTACCTTAATTACTAATTATAACATGGGGAGATATGAAGACATATTAGATACCAACAATAAATTAAAATATGAGGAAGTACTATTACAACAAAACTTGAAATTTACGTGGTGGGAAAAGTCACAGTTAAAGTCTAGGTTTCTTAAGGATAATCGAGTTGGTTTTTATGACAAATTAACGGATTTTGATAAGATATGATTGGGTACAGATGAAAAATTGATTTAAAAACTATGTTTTATTGACAGATGAATATATGCAAGATGAAGTTGCTAAAACACCAACAGTTACTTGGATGCAGGATACTGGCCACAATATAGCTCTAGATAATTGGGCAAAAATTTGGAAAACAGTAAAGTTTACTAGGGCTACAGCATATAAAGAAAATATTTACAAAATGCTTCACAGATGACATTGGTCCCCCTACATGTTACCCAAATGTAATGAACAATTGTTGGAAATGTAAGAAAAACCTGGGGACATATTTCCACATGTGGTGGACGTGCAGGAAAACCCATAAATACTGGTTTGGATTCCAAAAGATAATTCAAGAAATAATAAATAGTAACTTGCCTTTTGAACCAGATATTTTTAATTGATTATTATACCAGATGGTTATAACAAATTTGATTTATGTATGGTAATATATATCTTAACATCGGCCAGAATTTTGTTCTCAAGGTATTGGAAAATGGCTAAGATACCATCAAAGGAAGAACTAGTTCAGAAATTATTGGATATGGCTGAAATGGACAGACTAAGCTCATTACTTCAAGGGAAAGATGAAGAAACCCATGTAAAACTTTGGTCAAGAGTGTATAACTGGATACAAAAAAACTATTGAAACATAAAACTCTCGTGATTATGATTCAATGTAAGCATACTGTTTGTGTAACAATGTAAAACTATAAATAATTAGAAAACTCCATGGGGTTGCCTTAAGTCACTTGTGACTTGATAGCTAAACTAATAAATGTCATGCCTAATATCACCAAAAGGGGGGGGGGAGAAAATACATATGAAGAGATACAGGCTGCTGATAACTAGGCGCTGCTACAGCTTGCTGGTAACCAGGAGCAAACAGAGCTGAGCCCCAGTGACTCTGTCAGTTCCTCAGCAGTCACTTGGCTCATTAATGACAACTGGTGCCCACTCACCAATTATCCCTTCCTGCACTGCTGCCAGTTTTGAGGAGAATGAAATGGGTGAGCTTATGCAGCACTAACCTATAGCACTCCAGAGCCGTTTTTATTTCCTAATCCACTCCTGCTCATTCTACTGAAGAAATGGGAGGCTTTTGCTCACAAACAGCCTGAGCCATAAAAGCCTGTTAAAGGTCTCTAAGGCATCTCAAGACTCTTCTTTTCAGCAACAGTCTAACACTGTGGAACATGTTCTTAGCGTCAACAAAGAAGGAGACGGTTCCTTTACTTTAACAATTACAGTGGAGAGGGAATTCCAATAGTCGTAGCTTCTTGCAGAGGGCTAGTGAGGCAGAGCAGTTGAGTGTTCCGTGGCCTTTGACGCCCGCCCAGTTTCTCCGGTGACCTGCCAGGGGTTTTCTGCCATCCACCTTGTTCCGGCCCGATAAAAATGTGACAGAAGACCTACCATACAGGAGCCCGAGCCTCCTCTCAGCCTCGTGAGAAAGACCCCCTTTTCCCTACAAAACTCAATCTCGAAAGGAGGCAAGCTCATCTTGGAGGAAACAGCGAGCTGAAGAAAGCAGACCAGTTTCTAGTACCCTGAGATGGAGCGACAGGCCTCTCCGCCCCCTCCCTCTGACTGAATGGGCTTCCTCCTGTGGTCTCACCCCCAACTCCCCTCACATCAGACCACCCAAAACCAGGGTGTGTGTGTGGGGGGGTGAACTCATCGCCGCCCGAATTTACCAGCATCGCGCCGTGCCACTGTGAACAACCGCAGCCTGCAACAGCTGGTCTCGAAGCGTTCGCCTCTGCTCCACGCCGCCGGTTCTCCCGCAATGCAACGAGAACAAGGCAGGATCCTGTTTCCTTCGCAAAGATTACTGGGATATGGAGTTCACCGACATGCAGGTACCGAGGTACTCTGGTGAGATGTCGAACTACACTTCCCGGGAAACGTGCGTTGCCCAATGCCTCGCGTAGTTAGTCTAAATCCGGACGTGCCTGGAGTTGAGGACTACGATTCCCATAATGCACAGGGCCGTGTCATAGCGATCTGTGTAAACTGGGGTTCTCATCGAAAGGAGAGAATACTGAATCCGTTTCTTTGCTCCGGAGAATTGTTAGCTTTGGAATAGCATTTACTCGACTCTTGTTTTTGAGAACCTGCTTTGGCTATACAGTATCGTATATTTGCCTGGTTTCCCGTAGGATTTTAAGTAACATTAATGACAATCTTGTCACATGGAGGTTAGGAGTGTTATATATTGGGATTGAATAATTCCTGATAATTCCAGAGATTGGCTGATCTTGAAGCATAAGAACAATAGCCTGCCAGGATTCTGAAAGTAACCAATCTAGTAGTAATGTTATGTAAATAGCCTATCACTGGGAGTGGGGTTTGTTTGGGTGTGGCAACTGCATGCTATTTGACAGCTGAGGCTCAGGAGTCTTGTGCTTGCTGAAATCACTAATAAAGTAGAACTGATCACTAGGCATATGGTCTGTTTATCCATGGAACCCACTACTTAACAGGAGACAAAGCAGTTGTCTTCCAGGACCACTGTCTGGAATTGCCCAGTTACATAGAGAAAGAACCACTGGAATGTAGGGACGTCAGGTCCCATTGTAGACATTATAAAGGACACCAAGGGCAATATTACTGAAAACTGCTGAGAGGTCCAGAAGAATCAACATGGCTGCACTTCCCTGTATTCTTGCATAAATCATCCAACAGGATAACCCTAGGCAATTTTGTTAGGCCAGTCAAGTTTGAACTGCATATCAGAATCATTTAGAGATACCTGAAATAGTGTCACAGTAGTAATGTATGGCTGTGAGAGTTGGACTATAAGGAAGGCCGAGCGCCAAAGAATAGATGCTTTCGAATAATAGTGCTGGAGAAGACTCTTGAGAGTCCCTTGGACCGCAAGGAGATCAAATCAATCAGTCTTAAAAGAAATCAACCTTGACTGTTCCCTGGAAGGCCAGATACCGAAGCTGAAGCTCAAATACTTTGGCCACCAAATGAGAAAGGAGCACTCACTGGAGAAGTCCCTGATGCTGGGAAAGACTGAAGGTAACAGAAGAAGGGGACGGCAAAGGATGAGATGGTTAGACAGTGTTATCGATGCAATGAACATGAAATTAAGCACACTCCGGAGGACGGCGGAAGACAGGAGGGCCTGGCATAATGTGGTCCATGGCATCGCGAAGAGTCAAACTCAACTGTGCAACTGAACAGCAACAAAAAATAGTGTCAACTGCTTATCCCAAAAGGAGATATTAGCATCTGATCAACATCTGTCAATAGTATTTGGGTCTAGGGAAAGTTTGGATTCTTGAGGAAATCTCACTTCTATCTCCTTCAAGACAGACAGATATTTATCACTTCCCAGACCCAGCTAGCCACTTACACTAAGCAGTGTTTGCTCTATCTGGACATCACCATAAATGTGGTATGTTTGAACTGCAATTTACACAAAAAAAATTACAGTGCAATACTAAACAGCATTACACTGTTCTATGCCTATTGAAACCCAGAGGTCATTTCGGGGGGGATCGCGGGGGATCGCAGTTCCCCCGGGTGAGGTACAGGAGGGCGGGGCACATGACAAAGCCCCGCCCCCTGCTTCTGGCCGCCCCGTTTCCGGCCCTCATTCAGCCAGGAGGAGGCAGGAGGGTAAGTTGCTTCCTCCCTGCCTCTCCCCACCTCTGCCTGCCTGGGGCCAGGGAGGGCCTTCACGGGGCTTCCTTGCACTCGTGCCAGCCTTGCAGGTCCACCGCCGGGCCCCTCATGGGGCTCGGCAGTGGAGCTGCAAGGCCGGTGGCGGCAGCCGGGACTGTTGGGGGCAGGGTGTGTGGCCTTATGACACACTTCCAGTTATGTCAGGGGGTGTGGCCTTATGACACACTTCCGGTGATGTCAGGGGGTGTGGCATATGCTAATGAGTTATGCTAATGAGTTCCCCTAGCTCTTTTTATACGAAATGACCCCTGTTGAAACCAATGTTGTTTATGATTACAGTGGCCCCGGTCACACTAGCGGGAAAAGCCGCGGCAGAAGTGCGGCTTTTTAGAGGTGCAGCAAATTGAAGCGCAGCATCGGGATCAGACAGATCCCCCGAGCCGGGCCGCATTTGCTCCCCACCACAATCACATGCCGAGGGTGAAGTGATGGGGTGAAGGGTGAGGCGAGGCAGCTGCGCAGTTGTGCGCAGGCGCAGTGTGGCGGGGCCTCGCATACCACGGGATACGGGCGTATTGGCGATAACATGTCCGCCCATACGGCGCATTTCCAAGTAGGTAGTAGTGTTTTGCTGGTATCTTTTAAATCCGCGTTTTCAGCTGGAAGGGACGGGTTGGGGGCGGGGGCGTGACGCTTGCCAGATGTTGGCATCTGATCGTGCCGGTTTAATCTGCCCTCAACCCGTCCGTTTCGCAGGGCAAATCCTCCCATGTGACCGGGGCCAATGTAAGTCTATATCAGACATAAGTAACAACTCCTGTTTAGTGTTTAAATCTCAGTTTATCTGCTTCTTGCCCACCTCCCAGCAGGCAGGGACATCATATGCCCAGCAGGTACAAGAGGCAGTGCCATTCAACTAACTGAATTCAGACATCACAGCAAACAACATTTAGTATAAACTGTGGTTAAAACGCAGCTACAGACTCTAGTTTGAAATCCAGGTGGGGTGTCAGCAAATACACCCTGGCTTGTTGGCTCGTCTGCATTCAAACATCACAACTACTTGAAGTGGGATCAAACAGAGTTTATAACCCACTGGAGAATGCAGCCATAATAAGGGTTGCCAATTCCAGCCTGGGAAATTATTGGGAGATTTGGGGTGGTGCCTGTAATTTGGGGAGTGATTTCACCAAGAATCTATGGTACACCATGGAGTCTGCCTTCTGAAGCTGCCAGTTTCTCTCCTGCCCCAGAGGCCCGTTCCCCGGCGCTGCTGGATCGGGCCCCGGGAGGAACTCCTCCCTGACGTGCGCGTCACCTGGAAGTGACGCAACCACGCCGGGCACGTTGGGGGTGGGGTCATGGCCATCTGAGGGAAAACTCTATGGTTTTCCCTTGTATGGCCGTGGCCCCGCCCCCAGCGTGCCTGGCGTCATCACGTCACTTCCAGGTGATGTGCATGCGGCGCGCGCGCACCAGATGCCGGCCGAGCCCCCCGCTCCCGGCAAAGATTGACTTGGCAACCCTAAGTGGTATTGATCTTTGTTGGCTGGAGATTAGTTGTAATCAAGAGTTCCAGGCCCGACCTGGAGACTGGCAACTCTAATTTATATTGCAGTTCTACAGTGAAGAATCCTAAAAATACTTTCCTGGGAGTAAGCCTCAATGAGCAGATATGAGCAGGATTCTGTGTAGACCTGCTTAGGCATTCTATGAACACTATACCAGAGGTAATCTAAAGCATTAAGAATGAAACTACTGTGCTGGAGCCTGGAGCACATTCCTGCCCAAGTTAAGCATACTGAAGTTTGATTTAGAAGAAGAGTTGGTTTTTTATACCTCGCTGTCCTCTACCGTAAGGAGTCTCAAAGCTGCTTACAACTGCCTTCCCTTCCTTGCCCCACAACAGGCACCTTGAGAGTTCTGAGAATTACCCAGCAGACTTCATGTGGGGAATCAAACTCGGTTCTCCAGATTAAAGGCCACGGTTCTTAACCACTACACCACACTGGTTCTCCAACAAGATAATTAAACATGTGGTTAATACTCTCCTACCAAAATCAATGAGGTTTAACAAGTGGTTAACTTCTACCTGAATCATGCCCTTGATCTCTAAGGTGCCACAACTATTTTGGATTGTAACGGTGTAGTGTCCGCTGACCGCCACCGGAGGTCAGCGCACATGCCCAAGCTTCAGGCTGAAACAACAATGGGGACTAGGATCCTAGTCCCTCCACTGGGGAACCAATGGGATCCGTGGCGGGAGATTTGAACCCACCAATGGTGACCAGGGGCGGTCCCCAGGTGTGTATATAGTTGGCCTGCCGGCCGTTTATCCGCATGTCTTGTTGTGTGCCAATAAAGCGTGCTATGCACCACGTCGTTGTCTGTCGTTCATCCATGCGGCTACTCACTACATAACAAACCTTTACTCTGGAGGAATCCCTACTGAACTTGGAGAGGATTTTTCTGAAAAAACATGCACAGAATCAAGTAGCATGGCTTCCAAGCTTTCCAATCCAGAAATGAGAAACTGGAATTACTTGCAAAAGATACAAGCATCTGCCCTGCTGTAGTATTTATAGCTGCTGAAACATGAAGATTCATCCACCAGAAAATAGTGAGGTAGCCAGCCTATCAAAAAAGCAATGCAGTCTGAACACATGGCAGGGATCCAGGAACCTTTGGTTTCATGTTCCATTGTGTGTTCAACACTAGTGGAGACTCTTGGCACTGACTCCCCCCCCCCAATCTTTCTGTATGTAGGGCTTCAGGAAATTCTGTTTCAGTCTGTATCTGAGGAAATGTGCTTGGTCTTAAAGGTCCCACTGGCTCAAAATTTGTTCTGTTTAAATGTTTTGTACTAGTAAGTAAAGGTAAAGGTTCCCTTGCTCGAAAGGCAGTCGAATCCGACTCTAGGGTTGCGGTGCTCATCTCCGTTTCAAAGCCGAAGAGCCAGCGCTGTCCGAAGACGTTTCCGTGGTCATGTGGCTGGCATGAGTAGACACCAAGGCGCACGGAACGCTGTTACCTTCCCACCGAAGTGGTACCTATTTATCTACTTGCAATTTAATACTAGTGCCTAGTATTAAAATATTAACAGTGAGATCAGTAATACAGTGCTGTA